GGCCCCTTCTTCCATGTTTTCCTTTGGCCAGGAATTCAATAGAGCTGTGGGACATATGACACCTCTTTATTTTATTTGCAAAGGAGGGGAGCCATAGTCTAAGCTTGAGCTCTATATCTTTGGCTGGATATATCTCTAGTATCGGTGAGCTTGGAATAATTTAGTAAAATGGATTAGTTCCTATCGGACTATGTGTTAGTCTATGGCTCCAGTCAGCAGTATAAGGGTGGAAGGTGATATAAGAGAGACAACATATTGCATTATTTTTGATATATTGGAAAAATGATATTGGTATATTGTTGAATAAAAAATGAAATTAAGTTGAATGTATCAAATCCATGATTTTTATATATACATATATGCACACATATAAATAGATTTTTGGTTCATCATATATGGTTTGCTTGTATAAGTTAGAATTTCAGTAGTTACTGAGATGTTTGATCTCACCCCCTATATTAACAATTTGCAGACGAAGGATCTAGTAGGAATCAAGGGAAGGCACCAATGGAGTGAGTTGTGAAGGCTTTTGTGCTCCTCAAGCATATGCCGTGTTATATTTTTATTTGCCATGACTATAAGAATTTAATAATTTATTTTGTTAAGTTATATTAGAAATGTTTTGAAATTATGATTTATTTGAAGTGTTAGAAATATGTATGGACTTTTAAATAAAATATTTTATCACGTATATTGATATAATTATGTGAGGTGTTACATGTTACACCCATTCAGTTAATGAAAATTATCAGTTCATTCTCCTGTTTGTCTCTCTACTTTATTATTTTATATTCATCACTAGTATCAGAGCCTGGTTTTGAGACCGTAATATTTTTTCATCTAATTAGTTTTTTGTTTGCTATAGCAACATGTCTTCTGCAAATTCTTATTTTGTGCAGCCATCTATTCCTCACTTTGATGGTCATTATGATTATTTGAGCTTGCTAATGGAGAACTTCTTAGGATCCAAAGAATATTGGCAAGTTTTAGAGAACGATGTAGCAACACCAACGAATGCACAACTCAGAAATTGAGGCATTGAAGCTAAAGGATTTAAAGGCAAAGAACTATTTGTTTCAAGCAATTAATCATCCCATCCTGAAAACTATTCTCTACAAAGATACTTTCGAGGATATATGGGATTCCATGAAGAGAAAATACTAGGACACTACCAAAGTGAAGCGTGCCTAGCTTCAAGTCTTGAGAAGAGATTTTGAAACTCTACAGATGAAGGATGGTGAATCTATCATTAGTTATTGTGGCAGGACTTTGGAGATATGTAGCAAAATGCGTTTATATGGCAAAAAAATACAAGATGTTTTTATTGTTGAAAAAAATATTGTGCTTATTAACTTCCAAATTTAATTATGTCATTTGCTCTATTGAAGATTCGAAAGATATAGGTGCACTCTTACTTATTAATTATAGAGCTCCTTGTTAGTTCATGAGCAGAAAATAAACCGCAATTCAACATTAGAGCCACAAGTTTTAAAAGCTTCCACCACTACTCATTCCTCAAACTATAGAGGAAGGGGTAGAGGTAGAGGTCAAGGTTGAGGTAGAGCAAGAGGTCATAGTAGAGAAAGAGGAGACCGAGGCCATAAAGATGACAAAGCGGAGGAGGATGAATTTCAAGGCAAACGTGAAGGACGAGATCAGCAATTTTATAAATCTAAGGTAGAGTGCTTTAGATGTCATAAACTTGGCCATTATTGTTTTGAGTGTTATGCTAGGCTGCTTAATAAGGAAAAAGGAAAGAAGTCAAATTTTGGAGAACAGAAGGTTGAAGATACCTTATTGATGGCATACCAAGTTACCGAGACACCTCATTTAGATATTTGGTAAGTGGACACTGGTTGCAGCAACCACATGTGTGGAAGAAAATCTTTATTTTCTTCTTTAGATGAAGGATTCAATTCCACTGTAAGTTTTGGTGATTGTTCTACTATTAAGGTGTTGGGAAAAGGCAACATTAAAATAAAAACTAAAAATGGTTTTGTTGAAATGATTGAACCCAATTCTTCATTGTCTTTCATATCATTTTAAGGGTTTTCATCATAGTTAGTAGCTCTTTTACTGTTTATTGTGCTTAATTTATATTAAAGTGCCTTACCTTAAATTAGTGCATAATAGGGGCAAAATTGTCATAATTGGAGATTAATTATTATTAATTGATTTCTAGGATAATTGATGCTACATTATGTATGATTTTCCATGTAGGTACTTTGAGAGAAATTTGGGCAAATTTAGAAATCACACTTTAGTCCCAACATTAAAGGTAGTAAAAGACCGAATTAATCGCAAAAAAGGGCCCCAAAATTCAAGAAATTACACTAGAGGCCCTGAGTAAATGAAGCTTTGCGTTTTGGCTAAAAAGTACCATCCGCCGTAGCAGATTTGTCTGAATTGTAGAAGTCGCGATTTCAGCATTCTAATTCGGATCCCTAAGCTTCAACCCGACCCAAAACCACCTCTAGTAGCCAGTATAGCTGAGTTTCAACCTAGGGAAGCCTCATTCGGTCTCTCCTCGCCTTTCTTTGGTTGAATCATCCTCTCATCTCCTCCTTCCACCAATTCTTCATTACATTCCATCATCTTTCCCTTTAATCCATCAATAACCTCTTCTTCCATGGAGATTGAACTGTTGCTGCTGGTTGGAGCAATGCTTGGAGTTATGGAGGGCTAGGGGTTCTTCAACTCTTGAAGATGGTTGATTGGCATAAGTTCCAAGAGCTTTAAAGGGGAGTTAGCTCCATCCATAGTTCTAGTTGTTTATTTATGAATTTCTAGGTTTTAGGATTTGTAAATTGGGGCTGAACTATTTTAATTATGGTTGTAATCAATTCTGGATGATTATCTTGTGTATTGGATTAGTTAATGTTGAATTTGAGCTTCAATATATGTGGTTACATATATGTTTCTATGCAACTCTTTTGATACTCTCTTTCTTGCATGGTATTGTTTGATTGTTGAGTTAATCTGGGCTTGCATTAAACCAAGTGCATTAATTAATCTTAATACACACACTAAGTGAGCTTAATAGGATCTTATAAGATGGGTGGCCATTGATTAAGATCCTAGACTTGAAGGTTTCTTTAAGGTTTTTCCTTTAGAAAACTTGGTGATTTTTACTCCCCAAAATCATTTTGAACTATGATTGCTAAAGGTCCATTTTCAAAAGGTTTTATCAATTGTTTCAATACTTGTTTCCCATCCATTCCATCGTAATTTTTCAAAAATCCAAAAATATATTTACATTGCATTTTATCTCAATTAATAGTATTAATGAAAAGCCCCAACTTTACTCTAGTCAATTTGCATTTTCATGGCATTTAGTTAACTTAGGATCAATAGTTAAGGCTCCAACAAGTGAAACGACCCGAGGTTGTGCCTATAGTACAATCCTTTGTTTTAATTTTGAATTTGACCCTAAGGTGTAAGTAAGACAGGTCACATTTCATAAAACCATCTCTGATGTTTATTATGTTTCTGATATGAAAAGTAATTTGTTGAGTGGTGGTCAATTGCAAGAAAAAAGTTATACTATTACTTTTCAGAACAGGACTTGTGAGATATATGATCCTTCATGAGGTGCTATTGCTGTTATTCCAATGACTTCAAACAGGTTTTTCCCTGGAAAGATAATGAGTGTTCATTCTTGCTTGTTGGCTAATGAGAAAGATGTTTCATGGCTTTGGCATTACCGTTACAGCCACTTGAACTTTGGTGGATCGAAAACTCTTCATCAAAAAAATATGGTCACTGGTCTTCCTCAAATTTTTGCTCCTTCCCAAGTTTGTGAAGAGTATGTTGTTGGCAAACAACCATGTTCCCAATTTCCTCGAGGAAAGTCATGGAGAGCAAAAGAAGTCTTGGAGCTAATTTCATTCTGACATCTATGGGCCAATAACACCAACTTCCAATGGTGGCAAAAAAAATATTTTATCACATTTATTGATGATTTTACTAGAAAAACTTGGGTTTATTTTTTGTAGGAGAAAAATAAAGCTTTTAATATATTTAAAAGCTTTAAAGCTCAAATTGAAAAGGAAGCAGGAAAGATGATTAAAACTCTTCGTATATATCATGGTGGAGAATATTGCTCAAAAGAATTTGCAAATTTTTATGAGCAAATTAGTATTCGAAGAGAGCTTACAGCTATTTATACATCACAACAAAATGGAGTATCGAAGAGGAAGAATAGAGCCATCCTCAACATGGTGAGAAGCTTGCTAGCAAAGGGAAAAGTTCCAAAGAATTTCTGGCCAGGAGCAGTGAATTGGAGTATTTATGTATTGAATAGATGCCCTACCTTTTCTGTTCAAAACATGACTCCACAAGAGGCTTGGAGTAGACGAGAGTGTAATAACCTGAAACTTTTATTATAAATTAAGTAATAATTGTATAAATTGTTGTAGCTTGAGTACAACAAAGAGGTGGGAGATGGCTGGCAGCAAATGGTGCTAAAACATTAAAGGTCCCAGGTTCGAATCCTCCAATTGTTTAGGGAAAATCTTTTTCTCCTATTTTATAAAAGATCCTCAAATATTAAAAAAAAAACTAAAACTAAAGTGGCATCAGATAAGTAATGCCATCATTCTTTTTGTTCAGCGAGAAAGGGAGTAGATTTAGGAGAAGCTTCGCGACTTAAAGCTGAAAACCCCAGCCACTCTTCACCTCCATTCAACTCCATCGTCGTCGACGTTCGCTACTGCCGTCTTCCCCTTCATTTAAGGTTCTTTTCTTTCCTACTTCTCTCTCTTTTCTTCCTTTCCCCATTCAACACTAATATCTGTTTCTTCCTCCTTCATATTTCAGCTCGTTGCTCTCTTTCTCTTCCTCCTTAAGCTATTTTCGTGGCTAAAATACAAGGAGGAGTTGTAAAATTTTTTGGCGCCTCCAGTATCTCTTCATTTCCATTTTCTTTCTGTTGCTGTCAAGAGTTATGCCTGTTTAAGGAAAAATAATTCTGTTATGCTAAGGTGCACGATTAAAGGCATTTTGAGCCATATTTCTTCTTCCCTCTCGGTTACATGTAGTTAATTTCAGAAAGGAGAATTCTTGGGCCTGTTTAGAAAAGGTAGGAGGGACCCTATATGTTGAAAGGTAATTTACAATCTTGATCGGAGGAATCATTTGAGGCTTGTGATTGGGTGGTGCTGTTTATTTTAATTCGTATGATGAGTGTTAATGGGGAAAAAAATGTTTGAGGAATTTTCTTAGATTGGTTAAATGTTAGTCCTGCGAACCAATTTTGAATGCCTTTAAGATGCTCGGTAAAATGCCTCCATGAGCAAAAGATTGTTGATAGGTGTTGTTATGATATCCTGACGGAGGAGAATAAAATAAATATTATTTGGATTAATTAGGATACAATCATTGGTCTTCACGAAGTGTTTGAAGGAGGTAAGAGCTAGTTGTCTTTGTACTTAGAGAAATTGAATTTGATAGTACGGGTTGTGCTATTGATTATGTAGAGTTATAAGTTATATGAAATGTTCCTAGCTTACTTGCTAATCCGTAGATGTTTCTAATGTTCTTGGTTGGGTTGTTAAGGCTGGTTGAGGTTGTTGATGAATGATTTAAAAGTATGAGTATAAGTTAGATCATTAATAATAATAATTAAAAAAAAACATTAATTCTAAGGTGATAAGCATTTAAAATGTTGATCCTAAGTATGAATGTGATGCCAATAAATTTATAAATGAGAAAGTCTGTGATTTATATAAGTGGAGCTTTGACGTTTTGATTTTGGGTTATTAGGGGATTGAGGAGTGAACTTATCTCAAGGTTTTATAAATCAAAACCAGTTAAAGGTGGGAGCACAATAGGTGAGTGGATAGCATCCCATTATTATAAATATTACGAGTAAGCTTTTATTGCTATTGACTCAATTAAACTTTCAGTTTTTCTTTATTTTTTTTCATTTTATCAAAGTGATCATATTCAAAATCTTGTCAACTTTGTTTTACTTATTAAATGTCTTAACATGTTACTTTATTCTTTTAATTAATAGTTATATTTGGAATTTGAATAGAAGTTTTGAAATTGTTACTTGAAAATTTGTATCCTGGGGATCATCTGTTACAAAATTTTCTTTAAAAGATTTTATTATTAGAAATAATATATATGTCCATATATTTATATGTCAGCGAATGATCCCATGCATGCTTGTACATATTTTGAAAGGACTGAATACAGAACGCTGGTTACTAGCAGCAGTACTGTTAGTCCTTGGCGCGCCATGGTAAATTTGAGCTCGCTTGATTATTTCGTGGGCATAGTTCCCGCGCTTGTTTTGTGGCTTCGGCTACGCTTGTTTCGTGGCTTCGGCTACGCTTGATTGGTTACTTGCCTCTCACAAACTGTGTGTCCAAGCTAGTATTCGTGGCTTCAAGCCGCGCTTGTTGTTTCGTTCTGTTGATGTCCTACGTGTGATATAATGTTTTATATTTTCTGTATTACAAGTTGTTTTATTATGAAAATCGTTTTTATTGAATTATTGCGTTTAATCACATATTTGACATTTTTAATTTATGGTCGTACATTGTATAAATTTTAAATACTTTGCCATATTAATACTCAAATTTAAAGTTTTTATTTATTTATTAATTTCTTTTAGTAATGCATTTAAATTTGATAAATGGGATGTTATTCACCAGTAGATTGTTTTTGGCCTCAGATAGCACTCCAAACCCTGTATTGCCAGCTGAGCCGTGAAGAGCCTTATTGAAGATCCAGATCATGTAAATTTATTTTGAGCAATTGCTAGCTAATGTAACCACAAGAGTACATGTATGTCTTTATTTTATTAGTTTGATGCTCCACGTAATCTTGGGTTAGGTCCTAGTCTTTTGGGCTATTTTGGAATGTAATTATATACATTGGTGCTAGGGAGCAGACCTCTAAAATGTACGGGCCGCTATAAAATTGTTGGGGAAGTTTGATTTATAGTGGAGATTCTTAGGAAAAAAAAATTTCTACGAGTAGCTTTATATTTTGGATTATAATAGCTATGTGCTAGCAGATGAAGGTTTTATTCGATGAGATTCTTCTGTTTATAATTACCTTAAAAACGTTAGTTATACAATTATTTACATATGTTTAGGCTTGCGAGCGTGAGATCTCTCATACTTCTGCCCTAGGCACTTAATAAAAATTTGGGGTGTGATAGAGAGCCAGCTATTGACCACTTTAGAATTTTTGGTTGCCTTGCCTATGCTCATGTTCCAGATGAGAAAAGAAAGAAGCTCGATGATAAAAGTGAAAAATGTGTTTTTGTGGGTGTAAGTGAACAATCTAAAGCTTATAAATTATTTAATTCGCTAATCAGCAAGACTGTGATTGGCAGGGATATTATTTTTGATGAAGATAGTACCTGGAATTGGAATAGGCAACAGCCTTCTGTAATTAATTGTGATGATGAAATTGAAGACAAAAAAGAGCAAGTGCCACACCTAGAAAATACCACTATTGCTACTCTTGAACATTCTCCAAATAGTGCAGAAGCACTAACCACTATAATAGTGGAAGAATCTTGTGCTAGTTGAGCTCAAAAGAGACCATCTTGGAAGGTGGATTATGTATGTAGAGATGACTTATCTTATGATGATTCAATAGCTTACCTTGCTTTGTTTGCATATTGTGATCCCCTCACATTTGAAGAAGCTAATAAAGATTAAAAAAAAAAAAAGTGGCAAATTGCCATGGATAAGGAGATCAAATCTATAGAGAAAAATAATACATGGGAATTGATAGAGCTCCCGAAGGGGTAGAAATCCATTGGAGTCAAATGGATTTACAAAACAAACCTAAACAAAAATGATGGGGTTGACAAATACAAAGCACGCCTTGTTGTAAAAGGCTATAGGCATGAATTTGGCATTGACTATGTTGATCAGCCACTTGGATATATGAAGAAAGGGAGTGAAGAAAAGGTATAATAATTGAAAAAGGCTTTGGATGACCTAAAACAAGCATCACGAGCTTGGTATAGTTGTATAAATGCCTATTTTTCTAAAGAAGGCTTTCAAAAATGCCCTTATGAACATGCTCTCTTCACAAAATTTGCAAAAGATGGAAAAATTCTTATTGTGTCTCTTTATGCTGATGATTTAATTTATACTAGAAATGATATAGGCATGATTGATGCTTTAAGGAGAACAAAATTTGGGCATAATGCATTATTTTCTTGGCATTAAAGCTATGCAATCACCAAGTGGGATTTTTATTTCTATGTTCTTGAGATGTTGGACAGGTTCAGAATGAGGGATTGCAATCCTGTTCATACTCCAGCAGAATGTGGCTTAAAGTTGGTGAAAGATGATGGAGGAAAGAAAGTTAATGCTCCTTTCTTCATGCATGGTGTTAGTCTTATAAGTCGTTATATGGAAAATCCAACTGAGAATCATCTGTTATCTGCAAAAATGATTTTTCATTATTTGAAAGGTACCATTGATTTTGGTATTTTTTATATTAAGGCTAACCCAAAAGAAAAGTTTCATGGCTTTTCTGACAGTGATTATGCTGGAGACCTCGATGACAGAAAAAGTACATCAGGCTTTGTTTTTATGATGAGTGATAGAGATATTTCTTGGTCTTCAAAGAAACAACCAATTGTTACTTTGTCACTACAAAAGCTGAATTTGTTGCTGCAGCGGCTTGTTCTTGTCAAGCTATATGGCTAAGAAGATTGCTTGAAACAATTCGGAATCAAAAAAAGGGTCCAACAACTCTTTATTGCGACAATGTTTCAGCAATTAAAATTTCCAAAAATCCAACATTGCATGGAAGAAGCGAGCATATCAACGTGAGATATCATTTTCTGCCTGACCTTTGCAATAATGATACTATTGATTTGGTATTCTGCAAAAGTGAAGATCAAGTGGTTGACATTTTTACTAAACCACTCAAGCAAGATCTGTTCATAAAGCTTAGAAAGATGCTTGGAGTGTGTTCTATGGATGATTTTGTTCATGGGAGGGCTTAGCTTAAATCCTGATACTCTTTAACCAAATGTTTGCAAGCATTAGTTTAAGGGAGGGATTGTTGGAAATTTATTTATTTTAATTTCTTTGAATTTTTCATCTGATTGCCCATTATTCCCACTATCCTATTTTCCCATTATTGATTATTTGTTGCATGATTTTTGCTGTCCACATCCCATGCATTTAGGATTAATTTGATGCCATTATCCCATTTTGTGAGTCATGACTAATTTTTAGGAGGTGGGGTTATTATTTTTATTATTGATTATTTAGCACGTAATTTACCTATTTAAAGGCACATTCAGTTAATGAAAATTATCAGTTCATCCTCCTATTTTTCTCTCTATTTTATTATTTTATATTTATCCTAGGTCATTTTTAATGTAGGAATGTCTCTAAGGGGATATATACTTGCATATAGAGTTAGAAAATAAGAGAAAGTCTTAGCAATGATTGACATTGTTTATCTTCAAAATAGGGTATTTTGAAGAATAAAAAGTAGTTGCTGTAAAGAAATTAATTACTTTACACCAATCTAAGAAGGTAGAAGAAGATTTTTTTTTTTTTGTTACAAACGTGGCCCAAGGCCCAAAACAAACTAACTTCCTCCTACTCTAGTTCCAGCTTCGACCACATTGTCCAGTTTACTTTCACTTTCAAACAAGTTTCGTACTTTCAACGGTGGCTGCAACCACATGTCTAAGTCTTCTTCTAAGTCGCGACTCATCTTCGCTAGCAGATCAGCACAGCCATTAGCGGCCCTCGGGATCGATCTCACCTTTACCTCCCACTTTCTGTTCATTAGCAGATCTGTAATTTGTCTCATAAGAGTGCTCTGAAAGGTTCCTTGTTTCTCCTTGCCTTTCAAATTTCTGGCCAGGATTTCAGAATCCGTTTCTATCTCCACTTTCCTGAAACCCATACGCCAAACCATGTCAAGTCCTTCCTTAATCCCCCACATTTCTGCTTCTAGCACACTGCAAAAACCCACCTTCCTTGCGAAGCCCCCAATCCATCGCCCTTGGTCATCCCGTAACACTCCTCCACACCCTGCTTCCCCAGGGTCTCCGCTACATGAGCCATCGGTATTTAACTTGACCCACCCATTTTTTGGCCGTTGCCACATTTTTGACCCTGCTTCCTTGGTTTGCAGGTGGATGCTCATTACTCCCTTCGCCTTTGCACATTCATGAGCAAAGCTTCGACATCTTCGGACTAGATTCCACACATCACACGACTTTCCTCGGAAGATTTTCTCATTCCTCTGCTTCCATAGGATCCAGCATGTGATTCCAAAGGTCATAGCCCAAGGTATACTTCCTTCTCCCTTCTTCTCTGCGAGGTTGGAATTGAGCCAACTAGTGAGCATCTCTTGGTAAAAATCCGTTCGTTTGGATCCACATATCATATTCCAAACTTGTCTGGCCTGGGTACAGTCATGCAAGACATGCAATGTTGTCTCGAGTTTACCACACACCTCACAGGTTCCCTTTGCTCCCCATCTTTCGCATCTTAGGGCATTCGTATGTAGCCGATCGTGGGCCGCAAGCCATAGAAAATGGCGGATTCGTTCAGGGCCCTTCCACCTCCAGATCCTCTTCCATATCTCTTCCTGTGCTCCATTCTTCTCTCCCCTTATTGCGTTATAGCCCGCTTTAACTGTATATTCACCCTCCTTTCCTCCCTTCCACAATAGTCGGTCTTGGCCTTCTTTTGATGGAGGCAAGATCGCTCTAATCAGTCTGTAGGCTTCCTCTTTTAGGATACTGTGAATTTTATCCCACTTCCATGACCCTTCTTCCTCCACGACATCTGCAACCTTCCATTTCTTTGCATCATTCGGTATCCCTTGCTTTAGAAAGTTTTTTAACAGCACACCTTCTCGTACCCATTCCTCTTCCGAGAAGGATGTTGATTTTCCGTTGACAATACCTTTCCAAGAAAATTTGTTTGTGTAGTCCCAAAGTAGGCCTATATCCTTCCATAACAAGGAAGCGTTCTTTGGAACCTTAAGGATTGAAGAGAGCTCATTGCCTTTGTTGTATTTGTGCTTCAAGACATCACACCATATTCCTCTTTCCCCGCATCTCAGCTTCCAAGCTAGCTTTAATAGACATGCTTCATTCATGTCCCTTAGACTTAAGACTCCCAATCCTCCATTCATCCTTGGCCTTTACACCTGCTCCCAGCTTACTAGGTGCATTTTCCGCCTATCAGGATCATGTCCCCAAATGAAGCTGCGCTGGTGTTTTTCCACCTCGTCCAGCAGCCCCTTTGGGAGTAATGTGCACATCATAGGGTAGATTGGGATAGCACCTATAACTGATTTAGCCAACGTAACCCGCCCTGCCATACTGAGACAGTTTATTTTCCAGCCAGCTAGCCTCTTCTTTACCTTTTCTAGGATGTAGTTAAAATTCCTTCGTCTTTCCTTCCCATAATGTAATGGTATGCCCAAATATCTGCCCAGGTCCTCTGTCTTCCTGAATCCAGATATCTCGGTTAGTTTGCTCCTCAATTCGACCCCTACATTCCTTGAGAACAATATTGCTGATTTTCCTTTATTCACCTTCTGCCCTGTTAGTGCGCAGAATTCCTCTAAACAGCTTATAGTATTGCACATTTGATCCTCGAAAGCTTCCCCAAATAACAATAAATCATCAGCAAACATTAGATGCGTTACTGTAGGTCCTCTCCTTCCTACTTTAATTGATCTCCATTTACCAGCCCTACTCGCTTCCTGTATTATGTGTGTTAATTTTTCCATAACTAGCACAAACAAATAAGGGGATAGGGGGTCCCCCTGGCGCAAGCCCCTTGAGGGTTTGAATCTATCCGTTTTGACACCATTCCAGAGAACCTGAGTCGTGACAGTGGTTACACATTTCATTAACAGCTTCCTAAGTTCTTCATCCAAACCTACTTCCATGAGAATCTCTTCTAGGCAACTCCATCTCACCCTATCATAAGCCTTCTCAAGGTCAATCTTAATTGCAAAGAAGCCCTTCCTTCCTTTCATCTGTCTCATCGAGTGTATTAATTCTTGGGCAACCACTA